CACTGCACTTGCCCTTGGGGATGGGTGGGGGAAGGGGGCCAGGACCCTGGGGCCTGGATGTCATCAGATAGGCTGAAATGGGGGATGGGGAGCTCCCAGATGGGAGTGGGAGCAGCCTCGGGAGCCTGCGACCCCACCCCATCCAGCCACGCAGGCTCTGTGCCCCGTGGGGAGGCACTCATCACTTACCAACAGAACCCTGGGACGGAGCGCCGGCCCAGAGGTGGGGAACTGGCCAGGCTGGGCGTGGTGTGGGAGCTGGGGGCCGGGCATTCCTAGCTGGCCTTGAACCCACCTCTGCCTTCTTCCATGTCCTCTTTGCTGTGAGCCTACTGTGCGCATGGGCGGGGCGGTTTGCTCCAGGCCCTGGGGCTGCCATGGGTGCCGTGGGGCCGCCCCTACTCCCTGAGAGTCCCACACCTCACACTCCGAGGACTGGGGACGTCTTCCCACCCACGAGGGCGCTCAGCCGGGCAACGCCACCGCCTCTGGTCAACAGCCGTGGATTACAGACGAGGCCTTCGGTGGCTGAGGGAAGGGCAGCCCTGCCCAAGGTCACACAGCAAGCCGGTACTGCAGGGCCGATCCCTATGGCTGCCCAGGCCCGAGGGAGGAGGGGACTTCTGGCAGGTCCTCGAGCCGGGCCCCATCTGGGCCCTGGCAGGAGGCAAAATAAAAAGCACCATTCTGTCAAGGTCACAGCAGCCAGGACAGATCCAGGTGCTGGGGACCCAGGCGAGCCGGGGCAATCTGGGAGGGCTCCCAGGAGGAGGCGAAGGGCCTGAAGCCCTGCCCTGGCTTGAGCCCCTGGCGGCTGACCCCACCCTCCCACTCCACCCCTGTCAGCCCCCACCCCCCACCAGCATTCCAGCCCCTTCCTCGGCAGGCCCCTCGCCCAGTTTCAGCCTCGGCCTGACATTTCCCGTGACATTTGCTGTAAAGAAATAGAGTTATAAACCCAAAGGTTAAATTTGCACATTGCTCGGCGCTGCCGGGAGAAGCCGTGGTCCCTCCACCCACAGGGTGTCCCGTGCGTGCGTGCGTGCGTGCGTGCCGGGACCTGTGTGGGATGGCCCACCCAGCCCAGGGCCCCAGGAATCCAGCCCCCAAGGGACCTCAGCCACCAGTCTCCCAACCAGCTTCCTGGACACACCGTGGGAGAGGGCGCTGCCCACCCTGCTCCCAACCCAAGGGGCCCCCAGCCGCCCTGTGGTTGGCAAAGGAGCTCCGTTAGCACCGCTTAACTCAGAAAAACCACAAAACCCTTGTTCAATACCCACCAACAGGCCGCAGAGCTGCGACTCCAAGGAGCCACGAGGCGTGGAAACACCAGGTGCCCAGGGGCACGCCGGGCAAGCTGCCCTGGGCCAAGCTAGGTCAGGCCCTATCACCCCACGTCCCCGGGCTCTCCTTCGAATGGGGCTCAGGACTCCCCTGCCTCGGCACACCTGCAGCCTTCACCATTCAGCTCCCCCGCCCCGGTCTGGCTACCCTGGGAACATCCTCGGGCCAGGGGTACCTCCATCAGATGGGACCTAGTGAACCCGCAGTGCCCCGCCCATCCCCCATCCAGCCCCGGCAGGACAAGGAGGCAGGGCTCACGTGGAGACAGGAAGAACGCATGACTAGGCGAGGCCAGAGGCTGGGAGGAGTGGGCCGGAGGGAGGTGGCCAGGATGCCAGCTGGTGTCCTGGTCACCACCCACTGCATCGCCCACCGGGCCAACCGGGAGGGCAGTGGGGTCAGGCCCTGCTGCTGCCTCCTGGGAAAAGGGCTCTACGGGGCAGGAGGTGCCTCTGCCTGGGGTAGGGGCGGGATGTATCCACCCCTCGGGGTCTTCCAAGGATGAGGGTCCACGTGCGCCAGCCGACAAGCCCGTGATGCTAGAGAACACGCAAACTGTTTTAAAACAGAGCGACAAAAGAAGACACAGCAGCACACACACACACACCCGGCATCGTGGGGCCCAGCCAGGCCCACGTGCTCCGGGATGGTATAAGGGGTGCAGCGTGGTGGGAGGAGAGAGGGGGAGGGCACAGTGTGGATACCACCCCGTCTCCCCAGCCAGACTTCCTTATCCAAGACAGCAGGGATAACACCCTCCCCGTGCCTGGCTCAGAGGAGGGTCTGGCGCACGAGGGGTGGGGGGAGTGAATGAATGAGCAGCTATGAGCAAACACAGTCGCTGGTTGGGATCTGGCCGTGGGGAGGATGCCCATGACCTTGGCCGGGCTGTGGGTGCAGTCAGACCACAGGGAGGGAGGCTGAGGGGTGCAGACGCTAGGCCCTTGAGAGGGCTTGTGTGGGAGCTGGAGAGGCAGGCAGGTGGCCAGCAGGTCTTGGTCTGGCTCCTACAGACATGGCCATGGGTGGCCAGGGAGGGTAGGGCTGGGGCGGGAAGGGGGTGGAGGAATGGACTTCAGTGACTAGGCATATAGCCAGGTGCCAGGAGCCTTGGACAGGGCCAGGGTGGGGGCTCACCTGCACACACTCACTCTCACTCACACACACACACACACACACACACACTGGGATGCACAAGCTGAAGCTTCCCTCTGCCTGCTTGCGGGGCCTTTCCTCCTTCCTCCCTGCACCCACCCCTCCCTGTGTTGCACCGGTTGCCACGGGCGCCCATGCCACAAGGCCAAGCCTCCAGGGCCAGGTGGGCAGTGAGGATGGGCTGTTGTCTGACAAGGACGGGAAGGGGAAGGCAAGGCCAGGACTTGGACGGCTGGGCTGGGGGGTGGGGCGGTGACGGCCCAGCATGTCTCTCCCAACCTGGACACCAGCAGACAACCCCCCCGGGCCTCTCCACCAGCTGCTGGGAACACCCCTCCACCCCCCGCCCAGTCTTCCAGTAAAGCAGGCCCCGGCCCTCAACTTTCCAGGGCTGGACCGCGGCTGGGCCAGACTTCCCCTCCCACCTCTCGGGGACCACAGGAAGAGGGCTGGTTCTGATTGAACCCTGGTACCACTGGGAAACTGAGGCTCAGCTGATGGGGGCAGGCCCCCTGCTGGTGAGGGGCAGAGCAAGGGGCTGCCCCGGCTTGGGAAACACCCCCCAGCCCCCCTCCGCATCCCCCAGCCCTCCCTCCCCCACGTGCCTGGGGCCTGCCTCTGTGGGCTCTTCCTGTCCCATCTGCAAACGGGTCCCGTCACAGGACACCCTCCCCACCCCCAGCCAACCTACTTAACTTCTAGCATAGCCTGCAAGGGTGACCTGCAGGTGAGGGGACGCCGGTGGGGGAGTCAGGGAATGTGGCCCCCTCACCACAGCTTGAGGGGAGTCACCAGCACCACTCCCCCCGTCACCCGATGCCAGCCTAGGAGCCACCCACTCAGCACCCTGCACAATACCTGAGGCAGGTGAGGCTGCCACGGAGCCAGGCGAGGTGGCAGAGGCGGGGCCTCCCTGGGGTCATGCCGGGTCAGCTGCCCCCAGCCGGCCTGACGCGCAGTGGCCGCCAGCGGTCCAGGGTCTGCCCTGGCTGTCACAGTGCAAATCTCAGGAGTGGAAATTGGTCTTCTCTATCCACACGGGATCCAGCCCCCACCCTGCCCTCCAGCCCCGCGCCCCAGGACACAATGGCCCCAGCACTTTTGGGGAGACCCTGCATCTCACGCCCTGGGCAGGGGATCCCTAACAAGCCCTGGACACACATTCCCGGGGATTCTGCTCCAGATTCCGGCAGAAGCCGACCACAGGCTGCCTGGACACACACGGGGACCTGCACTCCAAGGCAGAGACATATGCCAGTGCACCTGCGGGCACACACACACACACACACACACACAGAGCAAGCTCCACCTGCACACAAAAGCCTCAAGGGTTGTGATGGCCAGAAGCCCTGGACGGGTGGGGCGGAGCGGTTTCCAGCCCCTCCGTGGCCCTGGCTGCCCACGCCAGCGTGTGGGCGTGGGAGTGGGTCTCGCTGAGGAGCCCCAGCATGTGCCAAGCATGGAGACCGCGGCAGGCGTGCTGCGTGGCACACGCATGTGTGTGTGTGCATGGCTGTGGGCGTGCAGGTGGGGGCGATCACACAAATATGCACCCCCCCCCGAGTCCCGCGTGTGTGCGCGCACCTAGAGTGCCCGTGCATGTGCACACTGGGGCCCGGCTTGGCATGCGTGTGCAAGCGTGCGGCCCCGTGTAGCCACGTGCACGTGCGAGAAAACGTGTGTGCAGCCTGCGGCACCACTGTGGACATCAGCAGGGCAGGCAGGGCTGGGCACCTGGGAGCCCACTCCAAGCAGGGCCCCAGCCACCCCTCCCTTCCCAGCCCACCCTCCCGGCCCCCGCTGCAGGGACTGCATACCCGGTGGGGGAGGGGTCTCACCAAGTCTGCCAGGGAGGGGTTGCTGCCAGCCCCCGCCTGTAGCCCCCCACCTCAGCCACAGGAACCCTCCAGCGCTGATGGAGGGGGCTCGCCCACTCCTCTCACAGTGTGGGGTGCAGCACTGGGGCGGCCCCGTCCTCCACGCCCTCTGCTGCTAACACCCCCACCCATCCCGCTGCGGCCCGACCCCGGAGAACCGCGAGGGTCTGAGCCGAGCGTCCTGAGCCTGGTGGGGGAAGAGGCACCTGACGGCACCCCTCCCCACACCACCCACCTCCGCGCGGCACCCACATTTCTGCAACCCCCCCCCGCCCATTAACCCCTTCGCGGCCGGGGCGCTCCGAAGCCCGACCCCGCCCTTCGAACCCGCAGCCCCCAACTCGGACCCGGACCCTGGCTTCCGGGACCCCCAGACCCGCCGCCCGGCCCCCGCCGGCGCCGGCAACTTTCCCGGGGAGCTGCAACTTTCCGTGCGGCCGCCGGCGGCTCCGCCCTCCCGGGGCCGGGCGCCCGCGGCCCCAGCCCGGCGCGCCACTGCGGTGGCCCCTCTCGGCAGCCCCGCGACCCTCCCCCTCGGCCGCGGCAGCCCCGCGTGGGTCCCTGCGGCGCCCCCAGCCCCGCCGGCCCGGGCGCGGCGCAGCACGGCGCGGCGCGGACACTCACCTCTGGCCGACGCCCTCTTCATCTTAGGGGTCGGGTGGGGCGCGTCGGGACCCAAAGTCGCTTCGGGGCGCGCGCCCGTCTCCCCGCGGCCGGGTCCGCATCCAGGCGCCGCCGCTCCGGCCCGGCCCCGGCCCGGCCGCGGGACGAGGCTCGGCGCGCTCCGCTGCGCTCCGCCCGGCTGGGCTCGGCTGGGCTCGCGGGCCGCGGCGCGCAGGGCGAGGGCGGCGGCGGCGGCGGCGGCGGCGCGGGCCGGCGGCGGATGAATGTTTTATGGGATCATGTGGTTCGACGCGCGGGGAGGAAGCCGCGCGGTACCCGCGCCGCCGCCCGGGCCGGGGCGGGGCGGGGCGGGCCGGGGCGGGGCCTCGCTGTGGGGGCGGGGCGCTCACCTGGGCGCGGGCGCAGGTGCCCGGGCGGGGGCGCGCGGCGCGGGGCTGGCCGGGGGTGCGGGAGGCGCTCAGCCCGCCCGGAGAGCACGGGCGCCGCGCGGCCCCAGACAAAGGCGGCGCATTCGTGAACAGGCGGCGGCCCCTGCAGGCGGTCGCGGGGATGGCGGCGCGGAGCAGGCGGGCGGGGGCGCGGGCTGCAGGGCGTGGCAGCGCGCGAGGTGGGGAGGAGGGCGACCGGTTTTCCGCTGGGGGCCCTGGCTGCCTGGCCCTCTCTCTCCTTCCTTGCTGGCGCCGAGTCCTGGAGTCGCCACCCGTAGCCCCATTTTTCAGTAATAAAACTTGAGGCTCAAAGTTGGTAAGCCCACACGCCTTGGGGGGGCGGGGGGCTCTGTTTACCATCCTGGATAAGGGGCTCAGGTCGGGTCCCCTCACCCAAGACTGCCTCCGAGCCCTCCTGCTGAGTTCCCTTCTACCAACCCAGCCCCTGCTGTGGGGCGCGAGAACCAAGTGACACCCCCCACCCCATGCACACATGCACAGGTGTCTCACGTCTCATATGCCCCAGAATCCACCTAGCTCCACGCATGTGTCCCTGAGTGTATCCATGTGCCTTCAGCTCATCACCAGGCCAGTGTCACTGTGCATCCTTAGCCCCCAGGGCCCCACGACTCCAATCCCCGTGGGTGGGTGGACACTTCGTGGGTGGCCCCTTGGGTGTGTGGACACTCACAGTCACCTTTCCAGTGGGTTCTGGGGGGAGGGGCGCCAGGCCAGCTCTCGAGGGGCCTCAGTGAATTCTCCCCTAGCCACAGGGGAGATTCCCACTCGTTACACAGAGGCGGATCCTGAGACCAAGCTCAGGGAGCCTGCCTTCGGTGGCATTTCAGAGGACATGTCCTTGCGGTGTAGCTCATGGGTGGCCTTGAATATTTGTGACCCAGAGCTGAAGATTGTGACCCTGACTTCAGACCCCTCAGAATCCCCACCGCGAGCACACACACACACACACACACACACCTGCTGCTGTTACAGTGGCTGTGCTGGGGCAAGGGGTGGGCCGGGGAGGGGAGGAATGGGGAGGCGGAGCAGCCGTGGAAGCTTCTGGCACTGGAGCCCTCTCAGGCAGCCAAGGCTTGGCTGCTCCCGGCTGTTCTGGGCTGGGGCCTGGGCTTTGCACCTGCCCACAGGTCTGTGCTGTGGGAGCGGGGCCCAGGTCTGCAGTCAGCACCTTGGCCAGCGCCCTTCTCAGCGGGAGGCTGTGGCTGCGGCTGCCGCTAGCTTCTTAGCCTGTGGGTGGGTGTGGGCCGGTGCTGAGGGGTTCACGGGGGATGGGGGGGCAGATGGAGAGCTGAGCAGGGTTGGTGGCTGGTCAGTCTTTGTCCAGCAGGATACAGCTCCCTCCCCAGGCTGGGGACCCTGGTGGGGAGGGGGATTTGGTCAGGGGCCCATGGCAAAGACTGAAGGGGCCAGTAGGGAGGGCTTGGCAGGGGCACAATCAGCCCTAAGGGTGACCCCCTGGGGGAGGAGCCAGACAGCCTGTGGGAGTGGCAGTGGGGTGGGGACCGCCTGGCCGCCCTCTGCCCCATCAGAAGATCTCTGCTGATCAGTTTCCAGGGAGCCCCAGCTGGGTGGCTGAGGTGACAGTTTGGGACACACTGCTCTCAGCTGCTGGGCTTCCTGGACTGGTGGCCCTGGGGGCTAGGAGCCTGCAGACAGCTGTGCCCTCAGAGCCAAACAGATCTTTCATATTCTGCATGGGTGGGACCCACGGAGCCACTCCGGAATCTGCCTGAACTGTTCTCTGCCCCTAGACCCCACAAGGCAAAGGGCACAGCCTCCCACCAGCTCTCTCAGCTCACCACACTCTGTTGGGGGGGGTGCTGGTACTGTCTCACCTGCCCCCCTGCTGCACCTCCCCAGAGATTCAGCTTTTGTGAGCAGTATCTTAAAGGGCCCTACGTGGCTGTGTGGCCTCAGCTCAGCTCCTTGGCCTCTCTGAGCCCGGCAAAGCCTGGGGATGAATGGAAACCACCGCCAGTCAAAGTTCCTCTGCCTGCCTCTCCTGTCCCTTTTTAAGACTGTGCAGGACTTTTCTCAGGCCTCCAGGTCACCCACGGAACCCAGCATGGAACAAGGTGGCTGGTCCTTCATTGTGGCTGGCTTCCTGGGCTGATGGGGATGGCCCAGCCTCTTTCAGGGGCCTTCCTTTGCTTGCAAGGGCTGTAGGTACCTGTTTCTATCTCGGAGAGGCCTGCCCTGGCTGTGCCTGGCATTCCAGCCCTCAGTGCCTTCCAGGGGGTGGGTGAGAAATGGGTTTTTGCTGCAGAGTGTGGGCCAGCTCGAAGGTCATGTAGCCAGCCTGCACCTGCCGCAGAGGGGTGCCGGTGGGCCCCACCCTTCCTGGCACTCTGAGAGGGTAGCTGGGTGCTGGGGGGGCACCTGCCTGCCATCTGCTGTCACCACGGAGGGCGGCCGTGTGCCCGTGGCCGAGAGGACTCTGTGCCAGGCTTGCCGAGTGCATCCTTCCATTCAGTCCTAAGACGGGGGTGACGTGGCTGCTGCCACCCATTTCATGGATGGGAAACACTGGTGCAGGGAGTTGAGGGGGCTCCATGTCCCGGCAGCCCCTCCCAGGCCACCCTTCACCTACAGCCCCTGCTTCCCCCAGAAGCCCCTCACCGTTCCCCCAACGTGTCCTGCCACCACACCCCTGGGGAGACGCCCACCCTGACAAGTCCTTCTGCCCAACTTTGCTGTATGCTAAGCCATAATTAATCTGTGTCTTCATCTCTTATTCATCAAAGCCTCACCCAGCGGCACCTGGGGCTGGTGCTGGGAAGGGGCTGACAGCCCGACCCCTGGCAGTGTCCCTGAGCATCCCACGGGGGCTGCCTGTCTCCAGAATCTCCGCAGGCACCCTGCTGGGCACGCCCCTGCCAGGCCCAAGGCGCTTCCCACATCTGGGGTATGCATTGCACAGTGGCAGCCCCATCCCTCCCTTCCCCCTCCAGGACTGGGCTCTGTGTCTTTCTTCAGAGTTGGAGGCTGAGCTGGGAGTAGGGAGAAGAAATCAAGCCAACTGGGACATGCACCTGCTGGCACCTGGGCACCAAGACTGGGCTTACCCCTTCTTCTGGCTTCCAGGAGGAAGTGTGAATCCCCAGGGCTCCTGGGACACTCTGGTGGTGGCCAGCAGGTGCAGCTGGATTGGTGGCCTCTGTCTGGGCAGGAGCTGCGGTCCCAAAGTCTGGTACAGGGGCTGAGCTCCAGGGGGTGGGGTCCCCAAAACCTACTCCCCTCCCACTCCTAGAGAGACTGTGGATTACTCCAGAGCTACCCACCTGGCACTGACAGCTGAATTGGGAGCAGCCATTCACATCAGGGGCCCAGCAGGTGCACAGAACTATGTTGAGATGTGGGGGCACCTGCTAAGGGGACCCATGGGCTGCTTCCTGGTAGAGGATACCAGCTGGGGTAGAGCGGCTCCAGGGGCTGCTGCTCATTGTGTCCACTGGCTGGGATGCCCTAGTGGTCAGTGCCCAGCCTTGCTGCAACCATTCCCAAAAAAGCCAACCCTGATGTGGTGCTCACTGGTCCTACCCAAAGTCTCTTGTCCTGCCTTTTTTTAAAACAGGCAGAATGGACAGTGAGAGAGAGAGAGACAGAGAGAGAAAGGTCTTCCTTTTCCATTGGTTCACCCTCCAATGACTGCTGTGGCTGGCGCACCACGCTAATCCGAAGGCAGGAGCCAGGTGCTTCTCCTGGTCTCCCATGTGGGTGCAGGGCCCAAACACTTGGGCCATCCTCCACTGCACTCCTGGGTCACAGCAGAGAGCTGGACTGGAAGAGGGGCAACTGGGACAGAATCCGGCGCCCTGACCGGAACTAGAACCCGATGTGCTGGCGCCGCAGGCGGAGGACTAGCCTATTAAGCCTTGGCGCCGGCCTCTTGTCCTGCTTTTTAGCACCCCTCACTGCCTTCATCTGCTCTCTTCCTCAGTCTTTTAAGGCACTCAGCAAACATTCTGCGAGGCCAGCTCCTATACCTCTGCTGGAACCCTACTCCCCTTGTCCCCACAGTCCCAAGCAGGAGGGCTAAGCCAGTGGCCCCAGAACAGAGGATGCATCTGGTACCTCTGGCACCAGGGAGACTTAAACCAAGCCCCCAGGTTCTCTGCCCACACCCCCAGCAGGAGGCTGTGCACCCCAAGAGCCATGGGACAAAGGAGCTGTGCAGGATGGGGGCCTTCACCTTATGCCTAAGCTGATTCTGGACTGAGACTCACCTGATTCCTGTCTGAGGTCAGCCCTGGGGACCACAGCCTCACCTGTGCACAGGGCCCTGTTGCCTGCCTGCTTGGAAGGAGGCTCAGGGGGTGTGTGGGCGGCGCCTGGCGTGAGCGGGGGGCTCTGGGGAGGCTGCAACAGCAGGCAGGGGTATTTTTAGCCAGGCTTCCTGCTGGCAGTCCAGGCTGGCCAAGATCTGCTGCCAGTCTTGGAGACACTTTTCCCAGCGCGTGTCCACATCCAGGGGCTACCACCACACACCCCGGCAGCCCATCGAGCCGGGGCCCTTCCAAGAGGCTGGCCACATCAGGAGCTGAGCCTGGCATCTGGGGAAGAGAAGCCTGGGCACACAGCCGTAGGCTGCCGAGTCCCGGGTCCCAGGCTCCCGGCCGCCACTCTCAGCCGCTGGCCAGGGGTTGGATTCCTGGGAGGCTCTGACTGATGGCCAGGCTCCAGGTTTCGGGCTGAGTATCCGCCTCCCGCCTGCCTAGAGAGCTCTCAGCTGCACAGCTCAGCAGAGCAGGCTGAGCCTCGCTGCCTTAGGCGCCTTTCCTGGGTGCACCTGCCAGCACTGCCCGGCTGCTCTGGCCGGTGGGTCTTTCCAGTTGGTTCT